CGCCTCCGCCCGATTGCCGGCTGGGATTGGCTCCGGCCCCCCCCCGTGACCCGGCTCAGGGAACAAACGGTAGAAAATGAATGAATGACTGAGAAAAACTGTAATCTTACATTAGTCAAGCTGCCTCAAATTGGACTTCAAATGAATACTAATGATGTTTCGTGCCACCAGCTGGATGCATTTGAAAAGGAAACTGTTTGCTAACACTCCAGCCACATCAAGATTATAAGGTGATATATGATTTTTATGGGGGCACCATTTTCTCAAATGAAAATATTCTACAAATGTCTTCAATGGAGGAGGTATTTAGACCCATCCCTTAATTAAAAGTAGCAGTAAAGCACAAATAACTCATTAACAAGTCCAGGATTCAAAATAAACATTTCTTGATCAAAATGGAATTAAAGTAGGTGGAACAGACTCTTGCAGACTGGTCCCTTTCAGAGTGGTATATGAGATGTGTACTGTAGATCTGTAATGATGATACAATATTGAATTATTAGGTATAATTGACAAAATAATGTAGAGCTAGGTTAGCTTTGGTTTCTAAACCATAAGTAAATATGTATGATAGTTAGAATTATTAGGAAATGTTATCATGCGCTCACAGAGCTCCTGAAGAAAGTTAGATGGGAAAATTGGAGTTGATTACACTTGCAGTGATAACTGCTGGCAGTGCAACAACAATTTGTCCTAGGGATGTTAGAATTTCATCAGTCTCAGTTTGGATGGGGGCCAGCACCCTCATATCATCAAACAATTAGTTGCGTCTGCCCTGTGACACCCATTAACCCTCAGAACTCCATGCTAATGAGAACTGTATAATCATTTCTGTCTAGGAGACAGAGGCAAGGTGGGCTTATAAAAGTGGAGAAATGAACAGAGGCTTTGGTAATTAGATGAAGATGTTTTTCCCTCTGCCTAAATCAGCAAATCATTTCTATTTGGTCAACTGAAGCACATGTATTATTGTAGATAATTACACCAGAGTGACATTTAAAGCTTTTCTTTCACATTGTTAACCACCGCAGAAAATCAAAACAACAAATGACATTAGCAAATGTTGTAATTATATCTTTGAAAACAAAAAAATGAGAAGTTTAAAAGATGATCTGGTTTCTTTTTGGATTCCTGAACAATGTAAATACTTTATATCTGTAAGTCTTTTCTCTCAGTAAATGTTCCTAATCGTCAATGGCTTGCACACAGTATGTGTGTGGAAAGGCCGGGTACGAGCCTGTGGGATCTCGGGGGAAATGCCCACAAAGACTCACTTTAGGCAGTAAGCTAATTAAAGTGGTGGAGCAGATGGTCCAGGCTTGGTCCGGACATAATGAGACGGTGAGTGGCGAGACAAACTGGACATGGCAGGACAGCTGTGAAGGGTTTGTGAGGTGACCAGAATTCAGGCATTTCCCAGGAGTGAGGCGTTGCTCCAGTCAAGAGAGTGGGAAAACTTTTGAGCACCTTTTTTAAGTAGCAGCTGGATTCGTCTGTGTTTACTTTATCCAAATGTGCATTTTTTTTACTGGAAGTGAATAACACCACACCAACATCATGTTTTTATCTTTTTTTTCTCATATTCTCAATCATTCGATCTTGGCAGGTGGTTTTTGGTAAACACCAAATCCTCAGCACCTGTTGCCAAAGGCTTTTTCCTGAGTGCCATCTCTCACCAACCCTGCATGCGTCAACTGACACACTATCCCACTGTCAGGTAAAAAAAAAAAAAAAAAAAAAAAAAAGACAACCACAAGTGTGACATAAACAACAGGGGCATTACAAAAGTGTACATGTTTTCCTGGATGGACGTTAAGTGGCACACAACAACAACAAAGGCTCAAGAAGAAGAAATTCCTAGAGGTTCAGAAACACTGTAGTGAACTCAGCTCAAAAGAAATGTCCCAGGCTCGCATTGTGCCTCGTGTGAGGAAAAGATCAAGACCAGTGGAAGCCAGTGTTCCCAGGCGTGAAGGGGTGATGTTTGAGGATGTCAGGCTGTACCTGGTAGAGAGGAAAATGGGCAGCAGTAGGAGAAGTTTTCTGACCCAGCTGGCGAGGTCAAAGGGCTTTATTGTGGACAACATCCTCAGGTTGGAAAAAGCTTGCTATTTTGTTGTTCTCTGACTGAGCAGGGCCTGACACCTAAATGTTTAGCTCAGGAGAATATATTTATGGAATGTAGGAGGACTTGGACTATTTTTTTTGTTTGTTTTGTTTATTGTGTACAGGTACCAGCCAGTATGGTTAGACCTTTCAAGGCCTTTATTATAATCCTGGTGAAATGGAAGGTCGGGGGGCTAATTAAAGGCCTGTTTGAGCATGGTTGTACTGTCATCATCCAGGCCACTAAATGCAAAATGAAGACTCATTTTCATGCTTAAATACGCATTAATTTACAATCTGTAGAAGCATGATTTAAATAATATAATGATTATCTGCACACAGATTTGTGATTTAGTTTTAACAGTTGAACCTTTTTATGGTAGAGACAAATCAAGCCATTAAATGGTTTTTATTAAAAGCAAAACTGTTAGGACATTACTGAAAAGATCAGTTCTCAGTGAGAAATTAAGTTAATTTGTGCCATTTTCATATAAACTTCAATTTTTTTATAAGAAGTTAAGGTCCAATTAGCTAAGTAGAGAACAAATATTGTCTTGTGAATAGTTAATTAAGAAGAGTTAGGGCATCTATCCTGCCTCTGCTACACCTTAGTGGATTTTACTCCTCACAGCTCCTACATTAATACATTTAGGAAGGGGTAGAAATTTGGACTCTAACTTAATGCATAGCAGCACAGAATGTAAAACAGCAGATTGACATGCAAAACACCTGAAGAAAGTAACAGAGCTATTTACTTTTTTAATGAGTTGGTGAAAGTTTTTTTTTATGAAGTTGAACTTAAGGAGAGAGGCTTTTGTGAGATTGTTCCTCCCCATTATGAATCATCCATTGTGTGGTAATTATGGAAGCAGCATGCTTTCTTCATGTTTTCTGTCTTTAATTGAAAGTATTTATATTATATTATATTATACTTTTAATTCCCTGCCAGTGAAATCAGCACAGAGGGCCTCTGCTTGACATCAGTGTTTGAGAGTCAGGTTCTTTTGAGGTTAATCATACAGTTGATGCCACTGTTGTGACATCAACTTAAAAACTTTTTTAAATGTCAACTTCTTGTTATTGGGACTGGGCAGCTTAAACTGAGACTCTGATCTCCTCTGGTGAGCAGGTGTCTTTTCAAAAGATTGTTAAAATTTGCATTTGGTTTAGGTGCTCCCTATGTTGTAAATAAATGGTCCTCTTATGTATAGTAGAACTAACATGGGTGTATGTGTAACTGCTTAAATGTGTGTTAAAGTGTGCTCTGCCAGCAGAGTGCCAGCTTGGCCGTGGCAGCATTCCCAGAAACACAGCTTGAGCGTTCCTACGGTTACACTTGGCTTGATACAATTGTTTGAAACCAACAACAGGAAGTAGAGTGTGCCTGCCTCAAACTGACATTAATTCTGCAAGCTGAAAAAACTGATATCAGCTGCAGCTGATACTGTAGCAACACCTCCCATATCTTGTCTTACAAGTTATAGGCACTCTCCCTTGAGCATATGCTCACATTTATTGCATGCTTTCCTCTCTGTATAAGAGGTAAGTACTAATACACAAACGGTCACACACAAACACTAGCCTCCCCTCTTCGTCATTTCAAGTCGGATGCATGTGGATCCGGGTATCAACATGATTGTCCCAGCTGATTGATGAGGTGCAATAAATGCTCTTTCACGAATGGCGAGAAACACACAAACATACACACATACACATTGATGTTTGACATCACACCACAATTTAAAATATGCTCATCCCTCTGAAGTTGAAACCTGGGGGCTGTTGATGTCACCATTGTCTGTTAATGTGAAGCTTTCAGTTTTCACACAACATATTTTGGAAAGGTAATGGAGGTTTTACATTTCAGACAGTGATAGACAAAGATAGACTTCTCATTTTTAGGCAAGGCAAGGTAGCATTATTTATGTAACACATTTCAAATACAGTGGCAATTCAGAGTGATTTACACAACAAAAGAAGAGCATTAGAATAGCATTAAAAACAATAGGCTATAAAAACTGAGCCTAAAGCCTAAATAAAATTAGGTAAAATGGATCAAATGAATGAAAATACATAAAAATAAAATAAAATACAAATAGACAAAGATAATAGAAACAGTTAAAGAGCAGTTACTTTGCAGTGATAATTTGTTGCCACTAATGCAACAGAGGAAGCAAAGGTGCAGCAGAAAAAAGAATCAATCAAAGGCACAGGAAAACAACTGAGTTTTCATGATAGATTTCAAAGTGGCAAGAGTTGGGACACATTTGAGATTAAAGCTGGTTCACTGCCTGTGCAGCATGGGAGCTAAAACCAGCTTCATCCTTTTTGCTTCAGGCTTTTGGTTCTACCAACACGACTTCTGGGTTTATACTCTTCTTGTTGGCTGAAATACAGCTAGATAGCTAATTAACCTAACATTAACTTAATGACAGTTTGACAGCACTTTTTCCCCAGCTGACTTGTTTTAAAATGAAGACTGTGCAAAAGAATCTTAAATATGCCTTAGGCTATGTGCATGATAATGTGCTAGGAGGCTAGGTGTGGTTCTGCACAGTGTTATACCCCAGTTCTTTTACTGGACAAATCTGAGTAAGGAAGGAGTTCGTCTTTCTTGATTTTAGTGCTGGTTTATAAAAAAATATATATAAATAAAGGTTACAGAACACAATCCGGGTTGTTCGGCTCCCTCCTTCAGACAAGCTGCTGGAGAAGAGAGCAGGGAAAAAAGCACCCGGAAACACAGAGCCTAATACATTTATCAGTTTTGGGCTGGCCCCTTACACAGACAGCTGTAAAAACATCAGGAGCTGGAGACAGTCCGATGTCTCCTTTTCTTATCTAGAGCTCCGCATGCTTGGAGCAGCTGGACATAACAAAATGAAGAATTCCATGTGTGTGTGTATGTTGTATGCGTGATGTGCAACTAAAACATCCATTCAGACATAATTCTTACACAAGATTAATACAAAAATAACTGGTGTCAAGGTACCCTTCTCAGAGTCAACATTATCTTTTAACCTTGAAGCAGAGCACACAGGAGCAGACTTGTTGTGCCTAGGAATGCTGTGTTTGGACATTGGGCACGGGAGCATTTCCTGATTCAATTTAAAATTTGAGGTCAATGAATTTATATATTTATTTATTATGTCTAATTTTATCTAAGTAGTAACAGCGATCATATGTATCTCAGTGAAGATGTCTCATGGGAGCAGCTGAAACCTTGCTGTAAAAATCTGTTATAGACATTCTTGGGTCTTTAATCTGCCTGATGGTTTTCTCTTTTGGAAAGCATGAGAGGGGAGCTGTTGCCAGGAACAGGGCAGAGAGATGACTCAAGAGAGTTCTCCATATCAAAGCCCACTGACTTTAACTAGTCCTTGTGTCTGGGCTTGGAGTCCCACTGATTCTGGGAAGCACATTCTGCTGTTGGGCCTGCATTCTCTCTAATTTGCATGTCAATCTGCTGTTTTACATTCTGGGCTGCTATGCATTAAGTTAGAATCCAAATGCAGGGACTAGGTTATATCAAGATAAACATGCCATGAGGAGAGACTGTTTTTTGTTTTTCTATGATCTTCAATCTTCCAATTCCACCATCTTGTGAATTTCAAGGCAAATCAAGCTGAAAGCCAAAACTCTATTACTGCGGTAAGACAACTGTTCACAGCAAGTGAATTTAAGCTTTTGGAAATAATAGCTGTGTCCTATAGTTAGAGGCCCTTACTGGTTCATGTCTTTGTACTGGGAAGGATTATTTTCAAACGCAGCCCATCGATGGCTGGACTGCTGAGCAGATAGAGGATTAGTGTCGCCAGTGATTTGGCCAATTAGGCCTCAGCCTGAGCTCTGCTGGGACCTCCCTTAAGGACTCTTTCCACCGATTTATTTAGGAGAGACGGACAGGAGGCGCGTGCTCAGGATAATTACACACGGCTGGGCGCTCTGATTGGGTATGGTAGTTAAAATCTGTGGCAAGAAGCAGAGGGAGAAGAAGCCATGATAAAAAAAGCCCATTGAAAAAGTCTCTGCAGAGCTGTGGAGGCACTGGTTGAATGCATTTAGTGGAGGGAGGCACTGAGGGTCTGTGCTGATTGTTGTTCACCCAGTGTTGATCTGCAAATAGCACAAGTGAGAACAAGATGCTGAGATCTGAGCTGCATTTCAAAAGCTTCACTTGAACCTCTCTAAAAGATGCCCAGACAAAACAGGACAGCTTGTTTTGTCAAATCAAGTAGTTAAAAAAATCAGTTAGACAATTAAGGCAGCCTGGGATCCCTGCTAATCCATGAATGTAGTAAGGCTTTTGTCTGCTTATGTTCTGCATTAAGAGAAACTTAATTACTTTAGGGCTGAAATCTTTCTTATGAAATCTTATGAGCCATTTGGTTGTACATGAACATAAAAACTTCAGCCTGCTGGTTCAGCTTTGTTTCTTTCACATAAGAGAGTTCTCTATCACTGGGTTTTGTCTGTGCTCTTCTCACTGAACTGGAATGGCCTTACTGTAATTATCAAAGGTAAGCAACATCTTGATCAAAATCAAATGGCTGCTGTTGGTCAGTCCTGATCAAACCATACTCACATGGGTGGCTGTGACTCAGGAGGTAGAGCAGGTAGTCTCCTAACCGAAAGGTTAGCGCTTTGAGCTGTGGCTTCTCGAGTCCACATGTCGAAATGTCTTTGACTAAGATGGTGAACTCCCAAGGATGTCACCAGAGTCTGAGTGTGAATGGATGAATTGCCAAGTAGTACAGTATGAATGCAGTTTGAGTGTGCTGCAATACATAGAAATGTACCATACAATTATAAGACCATTTACCACACTTTCCCAGTGGAAAAAAAAATCTTTTTGGTGTTAATCTTTTAATATTACATAAGAATTTTTTTTAAATCAAAGCTGTTATGGATATTGTTCCTTACTGATCATTTTAAAGAAACGTGAATACTTAAAACCAAGTTCTCAGGGACTTTAGCAACAGTTTGCTAATAGTTTAAGCTTATTGCCAGTTTTAGGCTAAGAGTGCTCACCAGTGTCACTGAGCTTTAAAAGGAAATAAAACCATAAAACTATAAACAGAACCAACCATTATTACAGTTTTTTTTTTTGTCTTCCTCTATAGCGATGTGGTCACTCATGTTGTGTCAGAGGACTGCCAGGCTTCGTCACTGTGGACGTGGCTAAAGGAGTGTGCTCTGAAGAACCTACCCAACATGCATGTGCTAGACATCAGCTGGTTCACTGACAGCATGAGAGAGGGGAGACCTGTTGCTGTGGAGACCAGGCACCTTATTCAGGTTTGTGTGTGTCACAAATGTCTAGATAGATGTAGGGTAAGCGCCAAACAGGAAACTTTTTATAGAGTGTATCAAATAGAAGTACACTGTTTGATGATTTGAGGAAACATAATTTAACACTTTTTATCCAGATATACTCCATTTAGGTATGTAGTAAGCTTTTCCCTCTCCCTACAAATCTATAATGTCAACCTTGTGACAGGGAGGATACACTTCTCTCTCAGTTCATATTACCACACTCCACCTAGCTGAGCAACAGAAACATCTCCCATATTGTGTGGGAGTGTGAAATCAACCTATCCGCTGGACATCAGGGTCCAGAGCGACCCACTAACTGCAAGACATACACACAGACACACACATATTTTCCCCTGTGGCTGGCGCTACAAAGGCTTGGCAACATATAGATCCAAAATAAAGAAATGCGTTGTCTCTTTTTTCCTCCCATGGCAGAGAGGGAAAAACACTCAACTCCTGAAGTAACATTTGCCAGGCTCCATGTACTTTTTCTCCTAACAGCCTGTGACAGCATTAACAGTCATGAGGACATTTACTGTGTTTGTGCCTTCATGTAATATACCCACAGAATGCTCTTGTCTGCTCTAGCACTGTTTCCACACAGCCACGTGAGTGTGGAACATCACTGGTGCGCTTTTAGTTTGCTGCATCATTAAGTGACAAGGCTAATGACGCCATGCTGACATTTATTGACCCATCTCCCCAAGTAACCACAAGCCCACTCCTCTGCTTGTTTTGTAATGCATTTCCTCTCTGGAGCCATTGAGGTATCGTGCGGAGGCATTTATATATGTGTGGCACGTGCAGGAGTTTTTTTTATGAGTGATAAATCTATTTAAGAAGCTACCATGAGGAGATGAAATAGTCCCCAAACAGGTTACTTCTTGGGCACATTTGCCTACAGCTCCTCTTGATAGCCTGAAAATATAATGTGTTTCACTAGAATAAATATTCTACAGGAAGCCAGGGAGGAATTTTAAGTATTAAACCCATTGAAATGTAATACTTTCCATTACTTCACAGTTTACAGAGAAGCTGTTTAGCCTGTTTAAGTAAAGAGGTGGCAAGATGTAAGAATATGCTGCATGAATGGAACAAAAATAGAAAGGATTGCTTGTCATTTAGAGTTTGGACCTAGCTTGTGAACACACAATATGTCTACCTTCACTCTTGCGCTAGGCGACAAGCAGGCTGGTCGTCTGAGGAGTATGGCTGTGGGTTAGTGTGTAGACACGTGGGTACAGAAGAACATCAGTGGCCTTTGTCCTGCTTGTAAGCCCGAGAGGATTTTATTAATCCACCTGGGTGCACTCCTCCATCTGTGTATCTCTGAGATGTAGAGGAGAGTGGCCTAGGTCCTGTAGTGCTAACTGTACCTCTTCATCTCAGCAGATGGCATGTGGAGAAATTAAGCTGCAGCATGAAGACTGCACACATTTGTTTAGTTACGTCTCAGCCATTCAGTAAAGGTGAAGAGAATACTAGCGAGGAGACCAGAAGGGGATGAGCTGTCTCTGAGTTTGGTCTGAGAGCTTTAACTTCCACAGAGGTATAGGCCATATATAATAACTGAGCCCTGATGGTAGTGATGGTCATACGAGGCCCCATGAAGCTTTGAACCTTTTGGACCATTGTATCGAAAATTGGTTCACTACTCAAAGCTTCATTCATTGAGCACGTGGGTGACATCTGCTGGCACAGTGGTTGTTGTACAGCCTTACAAAGGTGACGCTGATGCACCTTGTGTGTGCACTGTCAGTTTTGTTGTAATGTAGAAATTACTTAAATAAAGCTGAAACTTTACATGTGTCTGTTTTTCTTTTTTGCCTTATAAAGTATCTGAAATTAAATGTTGACTACCTAAGTAATCATTCTTCCCCAAGAATTCCCAGAAATATAAAATGGATTTAAAATTATTCATCCCAAATTACACACTGGACAGTCCAAATATTTAAAGGGTTCAATGAGGCTGTGGATGTAATCAATGCTACCTTATTCGGTGGCACCAATTCAAAATGTTCCAACACTTGTGACTGTTTCCTTAATAGCTCCATAGCAAGGCAATCCAAAATGTGTTGACAAGAGGTAAGACACAGAACACAGTTTCATACATCCTAAATACATCTGTATTGCGCCAATGTTTCAAGGGTCCGCCTATCGAACCAAACCAGTCAGCTGATTCAATCTGAATGAAGCAGAGAAGTGGTTCGAACGTCATCAGCCATGTGGTTTTTCCTGATTTGAAGCAAAGTCTGGCACAGTGCTTCAGAAAAATACCCTTCTGAGTTTGAAGCAAGCTTCGGAGCTTTGGTGTCAGAGGGAAGATCACTACCTGATGGGAAGCCCCAGCTCTACATGCTGATGCACAGACATTTGTCTGCCTTTGTGTCTGCCTCAATCCCATGTTGGATTAAACAAACTGAAGCTGAGGTGGAAAAGCAGTGGAGAACCCCACTGTTGTCTAAAAAGTGTGCAGTTGGGAAGTTTCTAAGGCAGTTTTACTTTTGACTGGCAGAAAAATTGTGCTGTGAAATATATTCAGTTATTCTTTTTTTTTTTTGAGAACAGGAAAGGCTCCTGGCAGAGAATAAATGATGAACATTTTTGAATCTCTTACTGATTGATTCAACCCAGCAGTGTGAAAGTTACTTTTAATTTTTCTTTTTTTTTGAGACACCCCTTTTCCTTCTGCAGCATCCATCCCAGTCAACACTGTGGTGACAATCTCTCCATTTACCTCTTCCTCCTCTCTCAGTATCAGTCTTACACCCAAACCATGGATAATTTTATGGACACTAAATTCCCTTTTGTGATGTATAATTGTCTGCAAGAATATTAATATTACATTGGTAATCCTTTTGACACAAATTTTACAAATGGGGAGCTGTTTCTTTGTAGAATGAAAAGGCAATTTACAGGAAGCAAATTGGATGATGGCAAGCAGATTTATAATGCCATGGGTTAGGTAGTGTAATGGATTTGGATGCTACCAGACTGTGAGATGAGTGTCATTAGCCTGTTGCCCTGGAGACACACAGTCATAAAAATAACTTCTCTAAGGATATGGCTGCATTTTTATGTAATTCAGTTTGAACTATTGGTTCTGTGCTAGTGAGGAATACACACACATTTACACATCTAGCTTGTCAACAGTTTGCCAGGGTTCAGAAATTAGCATGATATATGACTGTGTGCTGTATGTGTGCAATGATGATGAGTTTCTGGTTATTTTTGTACACAGGACACTTTGCCCACAGAAGGTTCTACACCCACACCTGTGGCCACAGTTTCTCAATATGCCTGCCAGAGACGGACAACCACAGAAAACAAAAACCAAATTTTCACAGTAAGAAACTGTTATCTCACCTCACTCTGGACACAACTGAACTTTTGCATGTTTATTTGAAAGAGGCTGTTGCTCTGACTTTATAATGGCTCCATAATCTGTTCTGCTCTAATTGGATGACTGGCTTTGCTGCCCTCACCAGCATGCTGACACAAGTCTCCCCAAAATACATTAACCTGCAAATGAGTAGCATCTGCAGCTGCAGCACGTTGGAGGTGCAGCAGCTGACATACCCATGATCCCTGGCACGGGAGCAGGCATGGACACGCCCTGAGGCGTGTGCTACGCCAAGATGGGCAATGGACGTGACACTCCTCACAAACAGTAATGGATCTGTCCCTGTGTGGGGAAGTTGAGGTGGTTGATAGGAGCACTCAGGTTTCTGCATGGAATGGGGAAGTGATTAATTTGCTGACTGCAGGTATACAGTTTAAAACCAGTTAATAGGAACAAATCAATGTCACATGCAGTCGGCATATTAACCAAACAAACAATAAACCACCGTGCAAACCACCATATTGTAAGGAAAGCATTGGGTGATTTAATTGATGATTACTCATTAATGGCATTTTCTAGCTTCATAACTGTCAGTGTTTTTTCCTTTTCTTTTCTTTAATCATTGTTAACTGTTTGGGTTTTGAACTATTAGGAAATGCAAGCCATTTGAATATATCACACAGGGCTTTGTTTAATTATGGCAGACTTTTTCAATATTTTCTGACATATTATAGGCTAAACTATAAGTCTAGAGCAAAATGAGTCATGAAATAATTTACAGATTAACCTATAATGAAAACTTATAAGTTTAATAGAATCACTGTGGCTTAATGGTACAATCAGAATCAGAATCAGAACCAGAATCTGCTTTACTGACCAGGTATGTCGGACACATGAGAATTTTGAATCTGGTACATCAGCTCTCAATGTGTATGTACATATTTCCATGCAAGGGGCAAGTAAACAGTAAACCCATATAAGGCTGTGTAATATAACAAAATAAGCAGTATTAACAAGCGGGGGGTGGGGGTGGGGGTGGGTTCTATAGCCAGTGATGGTTTTCAGGCTCCCTCACACAGACCAGGGGTCGCTGGCTGAAACCTGAGCTTTCATCTTTTCAGAGTAGCTCCTCTTTGCTGCTCTGATCTCCCTTCTCAGTGTGTTTCTGGCCTGGCTGTACAGAGTCCTGTCCCCACTTCTGTAGGCCTCCTCTTGGCACGACGAAGCTGCTTGAGTCTTGCTGTAAACCAGGGCTTGTTGTTCTATGTGCAGAAGGACTTTTTTGGGCACGCACACATCCTTACAAAATCTGATATAAGATGTCACAGAGTCAGTGAGTTTGTCCAGGTCTGTAGCTTCAGTCTCAAATACACTCCAGTTTGTGCAGTCAAAGCCGGTCTGTACCTCTGACTTAGCCTCTTCAGTCCAACTCTTCACTGTTTTGACCACAGGCCTCACAGCTTTAAGCTTCTGCCTATAGGTTGGAATAGGATGGACCATACAGTGATCAGAGCATCCGAGGGCTGCATGGGGGACAGAGTGATAGGCATCTTTTATAGTTGTGTAGCAGTGGTCTAGTGTATTTTTGTCCCTGTTTGGACAGGTAACGTGCTATCTGTATTTGGGCAGTTCGTGGGTGAGATTTGCTCTGTTAAAGTCCCCTAGAACAGTGAGTGGAGAGTCAGGATGCTCTAGCTCCACGCTAGTGGAGCTCTAGCTTGGTCAGAGAAAAAAAACAGTGTATATGTACACCACTGTCAGTGTTGGTCCATTTTATTCATTTCCGCTGAGTCTTTCTGATCCATCTGTCTTGATGCAATATTTGGCAGAGAATATGAAATTGGAGGGCTTAGATGTGCAGTATCACTGTGAAGTGATTGACAGACCTAGTATCTGTGTTTGCGTGGGAGTGTGGAGACCCACTGATGAGTTTCTGTAAGACCTATTAAACACAGCTTACTGAGGGTCTCTGAAGCATGTGTTTCATAATGACTTTTCAGTTCCCAGTGACAGTAAATGTACATAATAGATACACACACATACACTGACATTCGTCCACGTGTGCTTTCATGCTTATAATGAAACTCTGGCAGACACATTTGTCCCAAATACCATAAATTTAGTTTTATCCAAATTCAGAGATAGTTTATTACTATCAGACCAAGTTATGTATGTTACAGTTTTGGAAGTAGCCAGATATGAATTACTGCTGCTCCTTTATAGTTACTGTAAATAACATGCTTGAAAAGTTCATTCACTAGCAAGAACCACACAGTTGGAATGAATTTATTGTTCATGAACTGCTTGTGACTAGGGAATAGACATTTAGAAGGCAAGGTATCATCTGAGGTGATGATGCCTGAACTTCAGAATAACAATCTTCCATTTCTCACTCATTAATGAAAGGAAAAGGAAAGAAGAAGCTTGTCTAAAGGCAGTAATGAAAACATTCACAACAAAACTCACACCTTGAAAGACAATATTGTGTCAGTTAATGGTTGCGATGCCATGTTGAGCTATATTATTCTCTCACTCATTTCAAGCTTTCATGGTTCAGACATGCAGTAGTTTAATCCAGTATATGGAAAGCAGTATTTTGGTACATGCTTCTGTGTGGCATGGTTGTCCAGTGCCACTACTGTCACCTAGCAACCCCAGTCATACGAATTTGTCTTCAAGTGACATTTTTTCATTATTTGTGTGACAGTTTTTATATATTATTTGCAATAAGAAAACCCCTGCCAATACAGCATTTGCTCTTGACTTTTAGAATCTGGATGCCTGAACTGAAAACTGAAATTAACTTTATTTTATATACAAATTCCAGTTGCTTTAAAGCTTCTACAATATAATTTCAAACTGGAGGACTTTTATGATCCTTGAGGTAATGTTTTATGTCATGAATGCAGACCACAGAATGAATACATATCTGCATAACTTCCACAACAAAGCACCTTAAACTGTCTAAGACAACTGCTTGTAAGAAGAATGATCAGTTCTTTCATGATAAATGATGTATTACCAAGAAAATTGTATTTTATTTACCTGAAAATACATTATTCCCCAGTACTCATAAAACAGCTTTTAACAAAAAACATAGCTGCTAGTAATGCAATTTCTCCAACAGTGTTGACAAGAGGCTAAAGCAGCTACTCTGTTTTGTTCTTTTACAAAACAAGAAACAGTGCAGAATTGTTTTAAACTAATATTTCTGTTTTTGGTGCCTTTTAACAAATACCATTTCCCATAAAAATCTCCTATAGGAATATGTGAATGACTGCTCTAAATGAGGCAGCTGACAACTAGGGAAACATCAAGTGACAGCCTGGAAAGACAGCTTACCCCATTTGGGCTAACTTGAACTGGAAATCCATAATGGTAGTAACCTAGTTTTTAGACTGCATCAATAAAAACCACTGTACAATTAAGCAAAAAGTCAGGATCGGGTGTGGAAGTTGGCAATTGAGTAGGGAGAGCATTTCACTGGAAGCTACAGTGTCAATGGTAGGGGAAGGACAGCTGCAGATATGCTCTTGTGGCTGAAAGACACAACATGGACATACAATATACCAAGGGATAAGATGAGCTTGGGAATAGATGAAGCTTCTGCTGTCAAAGGACTTAGAAGTGATATGTACTTCTTAAAAGAAAGGTGAGACAGGTAAATGCAGAACTTGCAGTGTTCACTCATGATACTTTTAACAGAGGTATGTGGTGTATTACTTGTTAAGATGAGGTATCAGAGAGTGACAAATAGATATTAACTTGGTTGGTTGAGCTTCTGAGCATTCTGCTGCTGGTAGCAGCACTTTGTGTTTGGTGATTTGGTATTACAGACCAAGGGGCTTAATTCATTCAGAGGAATTGCTGAGTGGTCGCTTGTTGGTGAGATTGGTGGAATTTTGCAGTGATGGTGGTTGGACTACTGAGCAGACCTGGCACTCAGATGAAGCTGCTTATCAAGTTAACTTGAACAAATACAGCATACAATTAAGGCTAGGTCAAACCGCTGAGTATTTTTTCTTTACTTGGGTGACGGTAAGAGTTACTGTACTCTATAAGCAGCTTAAACACATTAGATCAAGTTAAAATTACTGTAGCTTAGGGGTAGAGAATGGTGTCCTGTCTTGCCAAGAATTACATAAAAAGACTGTTACCACTTTTAAGTCTCTGCCTTAAGCACCGAGAGTAAAAAGGTTAGCTTACCTCTACCGCTCACTCAGTAGCTCATTGGCTCATTGGCCGCACTGGTTGGTGTTCATCAACAAACAGTTAAAGTGCACAGCTCTCAGTAAAACCATAAGATATTGTTTTAACATTTCTATTTAACAAGATACAATATTTATGCTTTAGATGTTCTCATAATCACATTCTTTTAAATTTGCACAGAGTACCCATTTCCCTTTTCTTTTAGTCTTTATGCTAAGTTAATTGCCTCCTGGCTCCAGCTTTATAATTTATGTGGAGACATGTGAGAATGATATCAATCTTATTGTTTAATTCTCAGTAAGAAACTGAATAAGCATGTTTCCCAAAATGTCAGCTACTGCCACAGATGATGAGATACACTCTGGGAGCAATGGGACTGTACAGCATCTGCTTCTGTGTGTGTATTTGCATGAACAAACAGCATTTTCAGATATAATGTATATCTTGTTTTAGTAGTAATACCCAAGGACAAGCTATGAATATATCAAAGTGACCCATTTTCACCACCATCAGAAACAATTTATTTGATCAACTAGACCAGTTTATTTTACAAAGATACCATGTAGTGAGGCAAATATTCAATACCCAGGGGCTTTAAATGATGCTGTTTGAACATACAACTGTATGAGTAGCAGGGATTTATTAGACAGACACAAAGTGTTGGAGAAAATAAACAGCACTGATTTTAGGATGGAGGGGAGAAGAGATGCACCTGGGGCCAGCAGAGCATCCTGGTGAAGGAGGAGGGAGTACTGTAGGTGGTGTGGAGAGGTGTCAGGATTAGGAGGAGAGGATGAGAACCAGCTCAACAACAATACTCCAGTGAGGTGTCAGTCACAGGCAGCAAGCAGCCCTTCATGCACTTTTTTTTATTCCTGCTCCCTCTTTCTTCCTTACCATCTTTGCCTCTTGCTGTTTCTCCCCTGTACCACTTGCCCCAGACTTTTTGTTATGTTTATTTTTCTTTTTTTTTCTTTTTACTGTGATCTCCCTCACTCTTATGCTTTCTTACTTTTGCTCTAACAGAGAAATCCATACTGTCTTTTTACACATCAGACTTACACCTTTTCTTTTTTATCTGATTAGCCTGGAGTCTTGTGCTGTCAGAATTTCCCCATAAGCCTGATGTATGGTGACAAAAAATTGTGTCTTGGCTGATTGACGTGCAACATCAAATGTCTTTTCTTTAGTGACAACACACACCCATATAGATTAGCACAAGGCCTCCATGATACTGAGTAGAAGCAGCACTGATGAGGAGAAGGGTAGAGGGGGGGATGGGAGTGCTGAACTTTTAATGCATCAAATGGACTCCCTAACAAACAAAAAAGCTTTATTGATCAAAAATGGGTCAAATTTTGAAAAGATGTATGAAAGTTTTATTGCAGTACTCTTGCAATAACTAAATGTGTTGATAGATTTTGAATTACAATGTCTTCAGCTTTCACTGGAAGATACACACACTCATCATTCAGCCTTCATTTGATATAAACCTTCAAATTCAAAAATAAATCTAGAATTAGAGTTAATAGTGTTAAAACTCTTCTCAGTGGATTCTCTGACCTCCTTTCATGATTTCCTTTGGTCATGCAGTGAGGCGGGATGCTGTGCGAACATGACTCACAGGCATGTCCGTGATGTCCGGCAGTGGGGGGTAAATCGGTGCGCTATATCAACGTCCCTGCACACCCAGTTTCTCTACCAGCCTTAACTTCTCATTTATTATTAGTTGAGCACTTATGCAGGATGGGTTTTCAAGCCTCCAGTACTAAATCCATGCAGCTGCTAAGACAGCATGACTGTTGTTAGACTGACTGCACAGGGTGTGAGTGGGTGAGGTTTTAACATTATATTTTTCCATAGGCAAGATAATGTGGTGATATATATGGGTATTCTACTTTGATCATTTCAGCTGCTGTCTTGAGACAATAATCAACAAGAAACACTAACTAGGTCAAGTCAGCTCCTCTAGTATTAATAAAGTAACTTCAGATTTGAAGAACAACACCATGATTTTGGAAAATTCTGTTATTATTTTTTTAAAACAAGCTGTGAGCACAGCATTGACACAACTGATATGGTGGCTGTATTAACAAAGAGTTGCCTATTTACACATCTGGCCATCTCACACATGATCACTCTCCTTGTATCTCTGATCTGATCTCTTTTTAACTGATAAACTCTGCACTTGGTTCACTAGCTTAGTGCTAACTTTGTCTTCCATGGGTCTATTAGAGCTTCTTTTGTTGAATACACCTGCCTGCTGTGTTTGGCAGAAAATAGGGTTGATGAAATTAGAGTCCAAACACATCCACACAAATTTCTTGTAGTACTCCCTGCACACTAAACAGAAGTCTGCCCTGTCACCTATCCAATTACATGCCTGCTTCTCCTATTTATTACATGCCTTGAGGAGAACCCAGCTGTGTGTGTGCATGCTAGCACTTGCGTGCGCATGTGTTTGGGTTTAAGGGGTCGTTCCCTTTCCATGTGCTGCAGTGAACGGGTCAGTGCTTCTCCTGGGTGAAGTAAAGTCTGCTGCTCACTGACCTGAAGCGACATGTCTGTACAGGACTACTGGTGGTGCAGTGACCTCACATCATGGCTTGGCTGGGGGGAAAAAAGGCATAAATATGGCCGAGCCTGTCCTGAGCTCTGTTCACATTAGCCTGCATCATGTCCATGGGACCTGGATTACCTGGGTTTAGAATTAGAATTTAGCTTTAGTCCCTTTAGTGACTTTCAGGCACTGTTCCATGGTGGACTGGTTTTTCAGCTGACATTTCACTTATATGACTTTCTATTATTATTAAACATAAGTGATTCATGCATTACATACAGGAAGGAGAAGCAACATACTAGATTTAGTATAATATGAAACAGTGAAGCACATGTCATGAGCGATTACAGACTAGATTCTAACATCCTTATGCTATTTAAGGGTTCTCTGTTGTCTGTTTTCTTAAACCTTCACTAAGTATTTTGTTATTATTGTTCAAGATTTAAGATTCAACAAGCTTTACTGTCCTTTCACAATATGTACAGACATAAAGTGGACTGAAATGTTGTTCCTCTAGGCCCACGATGTAATACATACTTACAAACACACACTCAAACAGATAATAAAATAACTAAAAAACAAGACATTAGGTTAAGCACAAGACAAAAAATAGTTAAAATAAATAGTATAAAATGACAATGTAATAAAGTGACAATGCATTTTAATGTGCAAACTGAAAGATGAGTTGCTGATTTTTACAGAATCCGAGGGTGTACACATATGGTACTACTTTTGTACACTAGGGGTTTATTGATCTGTGGTGTGAGTAGTAGGTAGTATTAGTTGGCAGGAGCATGAAGAAGTAGTGGGAGGGGTCACACATGATGTTAGTGGCTTTGTAGGCACCTTGTGTCTGGAAAATGTCCTGTAGTGATAGCAGATGCACATCGATGATTTTTTCTGCTGTATTCACTGTCCTCTGTAGGGACTTGCAGTTAGAAGCTTTGCAGTTCCTCTACCAGACAGCTTTGTTGAGAGGTTACTTGTAGTGTCGAGCCCAGTGAGAATCAAACACTGTCTTCTCTGGCTGCAGAAGATGAACATATCAAGTTACATGAAATTACACAACACACAATGACTTCTAACCTCTGTCACTGTTAAACACTTTGCCAGATATAATCCAAAGAAAAACATTTTTTTTTTTAAATTAAGTTTCTTCCAAGCATCTAAAACTATGAAAATTGATACTGCGAAAAACAAAGTGGAAAACAACAATGCACAACTTTCAGGTTTCATTGGAGAACATAGATAAACTGAATGTCCTGGGCATTTTGAAGGAGGTGCATTCACTTTAAGAGTAGTAGTAGTACTGGCCAACATTGTAACTGGACCTCATTAAATGTTCAGAGACCTCGTGGTCACTGGTGTACCTGTGCACCTTTCCAGCATTGTGGTTGAGTGGGGTTCAATCTAAACTAACAGCCTGACAGCCACATTTCATACATTGATTGGCCAGGCGAAAGTTTACATGGTTGGATCTTCTCTCTCAAGTTTTCTTTATCCAGTCTCCACACAGGTGTTTCTGTTATTTTTGTGCATTTAAGCAAGTAGATAATATGAATGCATTCAAGAAGAGACTGAAAGAATACAGCACTATACCATGTGTATTTTATTTATTGTTAATTATTATTCCTCAAATCTCTTACTGATGGTCCCATATTTTTGATGGGAGCACAGCTACCAACATTTTTGCCTTCCAACATGGTTGGATGACACATAGCATTAATTAATTAATTCTTTTCAAGCATAACTTGACCCTTAGATATTAAGCCAGCATTGGAGAAAGAGGGGGAGTATTTTCTGCTGCTGAGCTGTAAAATTAAGCATTTGATTCGAGTCGGAGAGCTTCACATAATGTTTCTTTATTGCACAGTTCAACAGCACAAAGTGACTACGTTCCAATAATTACAACAAGGATATGTGCACCACTAGCCAAATGATTAATGCACATGGCCATTAATGTGTGAAGTGATCTTGGTGACACTACAGTATATGAGTAAAGTTACTGAATATTTTCCCCATTAAAACTTCCCCCAAGTTATGAAAAAACATATTTTTCCTAACTAAGGGTTGTAGTATAACCAGCAGATGGCCATTGATGTGTGAAGTAGCATTAGTAATACTACAATGGGTAAAAGTTATTGAATATTTGTATAGTAGGCTGATCTCATTTCAGTATTGCACTTTGTAAATGGCCCCTGCACACTCGTCTCACGACTGGCTGCACATTGAGACCATTGTTTTATTTTGTATAGGCTTCACCCTCTAAGAGCTGTCGTTATTGGGTTTATCCCTCGCACATGCGCAGTCCTGGAAAAGTTTCTTTCCCCACCCTGTGCCCTGCACTGGGCTGTCCCCGCTCAGATCTGCTCTGGTGACACAAAAGCCAATGTGACCTGAGTTCAACTCCCTCTTTTTCTTCAGCAGTCTAAAGAGCGATGATGAACAATGGCTAAAGAGCAAAGATCATCTAACGCTGGACTCCAGAGCCGCACCGCCATCATCGTTTGCCCAAGCTGCGATATGGGCTTCATCACACCCAGCGACCTGCACCCCTGCCTCGGTGTGGCGCATGCCAAGCTGGCACCCCTGGGCCACTTGCCCTTTCTGTACATGCTTGCACACGGCGGAGAAGCAGCATCGATCTGTGGCATTTGATGCCATCAGAGAGCATGATCCTGACCATGACAGCAGCTGGGCAATGATCTCTTGGTGGATGACCCCCTGGAGTTCCTTGGCATGTGCAGCGCAGACAGGCCTGAGTCCGTTGGCTTGCTTCCCTCCATCGCTGGCTTCCCTGACTCTCCCCTCGACCCATCAGCTGACATGGATGCCGGTGGAGACGAGCTCCCTCCAGCACAGCAGCACGCTCCCACTGCCGGTCAGCCTCTGGCCTTCGGGGCTCTGCTCCATGATCTGCCTGACATTATCAGATGGGTGGGCAGCCTGCACCTGAACAAACCCCCCTGCTGAGCCCCCCTCGAAAGCTACAGCAACAATTACAGAAGGTGGGGAACATGCGTGAACGTCCAGAAACAACCGGACACAACAGCCCTTTTCAGGGCCACGCCCAAGTCCGTAAAGAGCAGTTTTCTGACAGTTCTTCTTCCTCTTTCTTTGAATCTGCACTGTCTGTTTGCACACACGTTTCCCTACCACACAGTTTTCCCCTCACACAGGCTGTGCCATGGGATGCACTGAATACAATTCATTCTCTCCCCATTGTCACATCTAATGAAGCATTCTCCACCACTACGGTGGAAGTAAAGGCACTGCCATCGTCCCTCTGCAGTCTCCCATCCATTGGTGCGTGAGTGGCGGTTTGTCTCCCACACATGCTGCTTTCAGTAAAGTGCTGGAGACAATAGTAGCATCGCCAGCAGATTCTGCTGCACTGACGATGGAGTTGCAAGAGCTATTGACAAAAAAAATGCAATCTCCATGGTCCCGCCTAGTCAGGAGTACAAGGGTTTCTACTCGCGCTACTTCCTGGTTCCCAAGAAGTTGGGCCCATCCTCGACCTGTCCCTCTTCAACAAATACATAGTGAAGAGGCCATTTCACATGCTCACCATAAAGCAGGTGCTTGAGTGTGTATGTCCGGGTGACTGGTTCGTACTTTCATGTGCCCATCATCCCCAAACACAGGAAATTCCTGTGCTTCTCTTTCCAAGGTGTGTGGTTCCAATACAACTGGTTGCCCTTTGGTTATTCTCTGGCCCCCTGCACATTCTTCAAGTGCATGGAGATGGTACTGAAACCATTATGTAGGAAGGGAATCAGAATCCTTTTTTATCTTTTTTAGAAAAGTTTCTTCTTTGAAGCTAATAATCATACATGTGGGTTAGATAAAACCTTGTCTGAAAGAGGAATCCAGTGTATAAACACACCAAATGAAAACTAAATTGTAAGATACTAACTGTGTAGAATTTTGTGCTATGTGCTTCTTCAAATGAGTGAAATGTGATAACTGTTACTTTTAGATGTGATACAAAACTATTATTTTGAGTGGTTAGAATAAATGTTCACATCGGATACTGTAGTTACTCTGACAATTCTTGTTAATATCTTTTTGATTGCGTTCAAGCTGGTGGCTGAACAGAAAGAGCTACAGGATATCTGGTACCTTCTTGCTTCAGTACCAAACTAGCAAAATTAAATTCTCAAATTATTATAGGCACAAACCCACCTGCAGCTCTTCATTTTGAATGTTTTGTTACAACCCACATAAAATATTGCCTGATTAGGTAATGAATGGCTGTATTGATGATCATTCTGTCCTGTGGTCACATGGTTTCTTCCACTTGGTTCCATGACAGTAGCTCATCATCATCACAGACTGTGAAACAGTCCAGCTTAAAGCAGTGCCAAATGTTCATCTGTGAGAGAGCATGTTCTATTTAGGAAGTGTGACAATGAAGCTGTTTCAACAAGTGTTGTTCTCTTGAAATATCAATCCATCACTTTAAATGCAGACAAAATAGAACGGTCATCTAACAGAATCAGCCTGTTTCTCTGTTAGTTACCACGATAGCTCAAAAGAAAGCTGAGTAAAAATTTAGTACTTAGACAATAAATATCTATTTAGGATATAGATAGAATAATACGCATGTGGCCATTTATTAAACACAAAGGGCTTTATATTCCTGCTAGTTCAATTTCTGCATCTGTTCATTATGAAATTTTCCTCCAACACACATCTACTTTTTTTGCACACTAGTGTGTTTGGTAATTTCCTGAAAAATTGTGAATAATGACAGCCACACTTTCACAGAGTTCAAGGTGATGTCTTCAGATGTCTTGTTGCCAAAAACCTCAACATGTAAAACTGCAACTCATTACATCTAAGAAACTGGAACCAGGAGGATTTGGTCATGTTTCTGTAAATCCAGGCTACACTCTCTTTTCTGTTCCGATTTCCATCCTGACAGAAATATCCGGTTTTTCAGCTGTTAAATGTTCTGTTGTGTTCATTTATTTGTCTGTAGGACTGTATGTAAATGTAGGAACATCTGCTGGTTCTTCACTACAAGCAGCTCCTCTCATATATTCTGCTAGCTGCCTTTTGATCCATTTTAAAATAAAAATTCTGATTTGTAATCTGTTGAAATGATCAGTTTCTGAATTTAAAACTGGAGGACTGTGTGGATTAATTAATTCATTTAGTCTACGATCCTAGTTGTAGTTTATTTGAGCATATTAACATGTTGCCTTTTGTAGAGGAGAAGTCACTGATTGCCCCTTTAGGGAGCCTGTTTTGAAAGTGGAGAATGTGAGGCCCTGCCTGGTGTTCGCTAGA